AGGCTGCAACCGAAGCGACCGAGAGCCGGCCGTTTTCAACAGGCGAATTCGATGACCCGGTTCTTCTCGGCCGGCCGGCCGGGCCGTCGAATTATGCTCATGCACTTCGACCCACGAGCGAGCTCTCTGCACCCAAGAGAGGAGCTGCTCGCAGTCGCGAACCTTCGAGCCGCACCGCGATCGTTGCCGATGACGCACAATTACGACCCGCTGCGAGAACGAGAAAGCTCGAGTCATCGAACGGGGCGGGGCACGCGGTCTCCGCGATTTTTGTCTCCCGATCGAACGAACGAACGAACGAACCAGTCGCGAGACAATGCACAGCTCTTCTCCCCCCTTCCCCCGAGCTTTTTCTCCATACGCTCGTGTAAAAGAGAAATTACCGTATTTGGAAATGCGCGATCGGACCGCGCGCGGAGAAGCGAGAATTTCGACGATCGGCGTGATTTTGCAAACGGATCGCGCGCGCGCGTTGCTTAAGAAAACGGGGCCCCTGATCGGGGCCCACGGAATGAAACCATCGAGGCGGCGGCGCGGCAGAGGGACGACCGGTGTGTAACGACCGGTTGTGTTACTTAACTTCCTTTTGTGAGTCGGTTTCAAGCAAACGGCGTCGAAAAAGCGGGCCACGCGATGACCGCGCGAATCGGTTAATTACGCAACCAGAGAATCGGACACAACTGGCGTGTAATCCAGAGACTGCGATATTAGCCAATGGAAAATCCGCATTCTCGCGGTGTGTTCTGTTTGTTTAATGACGCGCTTGCTCGTTAACAACGGGCATTTTCCATGAAAACGACGCGTCGACTGCTGCGATCTTCGGCGAGACGCTCGCGAACGCGTCGGTTTTTTAAATTTAACTTCGGAAACTTATCCGGTCGGGCTGAAGCTCGCCATGAAAGTACTTCGCGATGTCGTGTGGGCGTGCAAAAAATATGGAAATTTTCGATCGTGTCATGGTGCCTCCGAATTGCCCTCGAATTAATCGTGCCTCCGGATTGCCTTCGGAACGTGTCACGTGGCCTTCAAATTGCCTTCGAATCAATTGTGTCAAATTGCTCTCGAATTGCCTTCGAATCGTGTCATGTGGCCTTCAAATTTCCTTCGAATCAATTGTGTCAATTTGCCTCCGAATTGACTTCGAATCGTGTCAAATTTCCTCCGAATTGCCTTTGAATCGTGTCGAATTGCCTCCGAAACGTGTCACGTGGCCTTCAAATTGCCTTCGAATCAATTGTGTCAAATTGCCTCCGAATTGCCTTCGAATTGTGAAATTTCCTCCGAATTGCCTTCGAATCGTGTCGAATTGCCTTCGAATCCTGTCGAATTGCCTCCGAAACGTGTCACGTGGCCTTCAAATTGCCTTCGAATCAATTGTGTCAAATTGCCTCCGAATTGCCTCTGAATTGCCTCCGAATTGCCATCGAATCGTGTCGAATTGCCTCCGAATAGTCTTCGAATCGTGTCACGTGGCCTCCGAATTGCCCTGGAATCGTGGCAAAAAATTGCAAACAAAATAGATCGTTTTTACTCCATCGTCGCTATGCATTCACATCAATTAATATTAATTAATCTGATATTATTATTTAACAGCGGCATGCGCCCGCGGCCTTTTTTTGCCGGCTGACCCGAGTTCCTATAAAAACGAGCCGCGGAGCGCGAACACTCGCGCGACTCAATGTTCTCTCGGATCTGCCGGTTTCAATTCCGATCTCCGGACATTTCTGGGAGAAATTACTTTAGTTCGAAACGATCGATGGGGAATGCACACGTCGCGTGACGTCGCGCGAGACGTCGCGTCGCTTGGCGTGTCTCGTTTGTAATCGCGCCGCACGCAGCTTTTACAACGGTCCATTATTCGAATGAAATTCCTCGGAATCCCCTGGCCCGCGCCGCAACCATGATATTGTCCGCGGAACAAGGGCAGGCGAAAATGCACGTTGCATCTCGTTTTCCTTTGATGCACGCCGGAGCCGTCCCGAATGAATGCGCTTCTTTCCCGCCCGAATCGAGCAGTCTTTGAACCGACCGCGCGGATTACTCCGACTTACTCGGCCGGTCGAGAGGAAAGTATTAAAAAAAAAAAAAAAATGGGGACGGTCGCGTCGCGGCGAAACTTCGTTGCGAACTCACCTTTATTCGCGGCCAGCCAAGACCGGGGGCTCTCTTTCCAGCGGCCATTGCAACGCGTTCTCGCGACTCTTCTTCCGCGCGCTGCGTTTCTGCGATTTTTCTCTTCCGCAAACCGTGCGACAAATTCCCACGACACTTTGCACACCTGTTCGCGCGTGTTTCAGCTAGTCCCGCGAATTTTTGTACAGCGCCGACCTCGAGATACGGTCTCCTTTGCGCAAGATTCCGCCGAGTTGTCTCGCGAAGCGGCCATCGTTTCCCAATCTTCTTCGAGGCCGCGTCCTTTTGCAATTTTTGTTTTCCGTAAACCGCCTCGAGGAATTCCCGCGACACTTTGTAAACTCGTTCGCGCCTACCTCAGCCGCTTCTGCGAATTTTTATACGCGGTGTCGACATCGTGATTCGCTTTTCTTCGAGCGCAATTGCACTCGTTTCCGAAACGGTTCGCCGGCGTAAACAGTTCCGCGGGTCGGCTGATCGTTAATGAATGGTGTAATGCATTTGCTCGCACGTGCCCCGCTTCTTTCTTTTCTTTTCCTTTTTTTTCGCTACACCCTGAACTCGATCTCCATTCGCGGCCGTGTTTACGCGAGTGAATTAATTCGACGCAATTGATATCTTTAAGCAAAAAATATTAACGCGAGTAGTTAAATATAAAAATATAGATATAAATAAATAGAATAAAGTATACAATTTATTCAGCATTATTCAAGTAACTCCGATAATATAATATAATTATATGATGAATATAATAAATATAGATGTAGATAAGAGTATAAATGTAAATAAATATAAATAAATATAATAAAGTATACAATTTATTCAGCATTATTCAAGTAACTCCGATAATATAATATAATTATATGATGAATATAATAAATATAGATGTAGATAAGAGTATAAATGTAAATAAATATAAATAAATATAATAAAGTATACAATTTATTCAGCATTATTCAAGTAACTCCGATAATATAATATAATTATATGATGAATATAATAAATATAGATGTAGATAAGAGTATAAATGTAAATAAATATAAATAAATATAATAAAGTATACAATTTATTCAGCATTATTCAAGTAACTCCGATAACATAATATAATTATATGATAAATATATTAAATATAGATATAGATAGATATAAACATAAATAAATATAAATAAATATAATAAAGCATACAATTTATTCAGCATCATTCAAACGCGGAAACACGCGTGCAACATATTTATTTGGCGGCCGTCTGATCGCGCGTCTCCCTCGGAAGGGAAATTGGCCGGGATAAAGAAGTCCGGCATAAATAACAACTTCATAAGTCCACAGTTCAAGAAAATCGTCTGAGAGAGGGCATTCCGTTCGACCGTGGCTTTGTTTTTTCTTTTTCTTCTTTTTTTTCTAGTCGCGTCATCGTTCACTGACGTCGCCGACGCAGTCTCCCACTTTTCGTTACCCTCTCCATAGAGGAAAATTCGAGCGTATTTAAGATGCCTAGTGGACTTCAGATTTACATTACCGTTGTCGGTTGTGCGGTGCTTGATTGTGTTTTATGTGATAAGACGAGAGAGAGAGAGAGAGAGAAGGTACGCGCCGATCTTGGCCGGCGGCGAATCGCTGCAACCCTTTGTTCTTTTTCTCCCCTGCGAGAACATTTCCTTCGTCGCGTTTCCGTCGGATAGGAACGTCGGGACGATCTTGTTCTCTCTTTCTGTTGTCATCTTGGAAAGATCGTGTCGCTGCTCGGCTCGATTTTATCGGCGATCCGATTCAGGGTTCCGATTGTTCGTTCGATCGACCGCGACGATGGGAGATTCGTCGGATTTCCAGCGATTCTAGAGAACTTTCAAGCATAAAGAGTTTTACACAGGATTTGACAGATTTCTCAGAATTTTATCTCTATTTAATACCGGATTTACGAAGCGCAAAAGACAGCTGTTCTATAATGTCTCCCTTATCGACGCTCAGATTGTCCACTAAAATGGACAATTTGGGCAGAGGAGATGCGATTGTTCGAGCCTTTTGCGGCTCGTTTTTATAGTTGTTGACAATTCGTGACTATAAATATGAACCGCAAGGATCGAACAATCGTATCTCCTCTCCCTAAATTGTCCATTTTTCTGGACAATCCGAGCGTCAATTAGAGAGACGTTACTGTAGATCTTTCATTCTTAAACATCTTTAATTCGCTGATATTGATATCCTGGATAATCGATTATAATATTCTAGAAATTATAACAAAGAAAAAAGGAGAAAATTATTATAATATTATATATATATAATATTCTATACTTAATCATTTCTTTCGCAAGGGGTTGATTCGACGAAACCAGTTGTATCGTAACATTTGCCGCGTAAGTAACGTACAAATTGAACGAATAACTCGCAAATGTATCTTCGCGATACGAACAATCGTAAATGAAAAAACTGTCGTCATTTTGACGGGTTTCGCAAATCTCCGCGGCCATAGACGATGTGGCCGGCGAACAATAAACACGTTGACGGACGATAACGTTCAACTCTCGCGTGAAAAATCGATCGACGTTGGAACATTTAATTGCCAAGACGTTCCCGATTTTTGGAATTAATCCGCGCGATCCAAATATGTTTGCCGATTCTCCCGGAAAAGGAGAATTTCGTCGCGAAACCGCAGATTTTCGAGACGGGATTCTCTCACGATTCTTCGTGGAAAGAACGCCGCGGCGAGCGGACGCGCGGAACCTTAGGTCACAGCAGATTTCGGTTATTGACACAAGGGTTGACAGGGTTGTCCCCGTTCCCTTTGAACCTCGAGTCCTCGGGTTCGGTCCCCGTTGAAATTTCCTCGGCTCGCCGGAGTAAAACGAACAACGCTTTGTGTCTGCTTTCAGAGAGGAGCCAAGATGACGAGCATAGTGGCGGATCTGGTGCACGGGTACAGGGACCTCATGGATAACAAATCCGGTAAGATGATTTTCCTTCTAACAATAAGCCGTCGAAGATGTCGGGACACAGCCGGGTAACTATAACGAAAGAGTTGCGCGGAAATACGGCTCGCAAACGAATCCTCGAATTCTTCGCTATCGGCGCGACGGCGAAGTTGAAAATCCGCGAAAATCCACCGGTTAGGAGCCTCGAGGAGCCAATTACAGTATCCCGATAGTTCGTACAATTTATTGACACAGTCGACGCCGTAATATTTGGTCCTAGATCGACTCATTTCACGGAACATCGATCCTCGGTCGTTCAGCATTTTCGGAAGCGCGTTCGCGAGTCTTCGCAGAAAATGCCGCGAATTCGGTGTTAAAGGATTCGAGCGACTTTCGCGGTATTTCGTGAACTCTGCCGATCGAATTTGAGGGAATAAATTTCGTCGGTTAGCCGTGCGTTCGACGAGCATACTCGTCGCATAGATTCTCGGGCGCTCTGAAAAGAAGGCGCCGCGGCTGACCGGTTAAAAAGAAACGATATTCGATCATTTTGATTGTACGTTCAAAGAACGTTCGAAGACGGTCGACGATTTTACGATTTTTCTGTCGACGGTAGCTAAAGTTTAACGTGTTGTTCTTTCGTAACGATCTTCTCTTATGCAGGCCACGTGTAGGCCGCACGCGGTAGCTCGATCTACAATGTATTATAATTAAGCAGTTGCGCTGATCATAAATTCAGCCCGAATGAAAATCAGTCTGTTAAAAAAAAAGTTGAATTTAGATGAAACTTTTATGCATTCGTGGAACGCGATCGATTTATTATTCAGCGTTATGTCGGTTTACGGTCGCATTATTCATTTTGCGGGCATTTCAAAAACAATTCCACGAGGATTTCACGAGAATCTGTGACGAAGGATTTTTAAAAAACGCTTTTTACCAGGATTTGACGAAACGTTTTGCAAGGTTTTTACAAAACGCTTTGCAAGGTTTTTACATACATTTTGCAAGGATTTTTTTTACGAAGAACTTAAAAGAGATTTTACAAAGATTTTACAAAGATTTTACGAACATTTCACAAGTACATCGTTCTCCAGCAAATTCGAACGACTTAAGGAGAACGTGAGAACGTCATTGGAATTCTTCGAACGTCTCATTCATTATTCGGCACTTCGATTAAGCTATTCCATCGCAAATGCATTAAGCCCTCGGTCCGATAATTACTGTGACTAGTAGACTTTTCGAAGCGATTGCAACAGCCGACCGGTTAAGCAGTTAAAATCGAGAGGAGAAAGTGTTCCTCGTCGACGGGGAGGGAAGAGATTCCCACGAAATTCTACGAGCATCTAGCATCTCAAAATTCTCCGAATTTTTCTCCGAAAAATCTCTCCCTTGCTGACGCGCTCAGATTGTCCACTAAAATGGATAATTTGGGATACGATTGTTCGAGCCTTGTGGCTCCTTTTTTTATAATTGTGGACAATTTATAACTACAAGAATAAACCGCGAGGCTCGAATAATCGTATCGCCTCTTCCCAAATTGTCCATTTTTGTGCGCGATCTGGGCGTCAATTAGAGAGACATTACTGTGAGATACAAAAGCGAAGTCTGACAGCGAAAGAAGGACGCGGACGCAGTTTCTCGAAATGACTCCGCCGCCGCTGTCGATAAAATGTCGCAATGGTCGCTTCCATCTTGTTCCCGATTTCCCTGGCGTCTCTCGATCGTCCACGATCCTCTCGGCCAGGTGGGCTCGTCCACCTGGAATTTCGAGAAGAAAACTCCGAGAGGCCGGCTGTCTCGATTTGGGACGCATAGAATGTAACGGTACCGAAGATATGGGACCCCGTGCTGCGCGTCGTTTTCCCATAAAGGAATCGTCGTCGTCGTCGTCGCGTCGCCTCGACGGCAACCTCGAATTCGAAACTAATTGAACCGAACAATTAACGGACGAGCCCGCCGAGCGGCAACAGCGACAATAATTGGAGTGTTTCAACGTTCGCGAATTAATGAAGTCCGAATTCGCGTCGATTTCGCGCGATTTTAATTGCGACGCGTAATTCTTCCCGTTCGAATCGTTGACAAACAGACATTTATGGTGAACTCTTGCAGTTCGTGCAATCGTTCCTCGGCGAACGACCTTGGTTTAATTCGCGTTGCAGCCATCGGATTAGTCGCGCGATTCTTGCCGAATGAAACAGCGCTGGGCGGATTGCTGATTTTTACGAAATTATTATCGGGGAGGATGATTTTTGTTCTGTGTATGAATTTTTGACCGATTATTTTCTCGCGCTATAAATCGCACGAATTTTCTGCGAATTTCCTGCGAATTTTCTGTGAATTCAATGGAGCGTTAATGGAACTTGTACATTTGTCAAAACGATCGCGTCGCATCGAGCGGTCGATTAACAAAGCTCACAAAAAAATAGGGGATGAAACAGAGTCTTCTTCTTCTTCCTCGTTTTTTCGGGAACATCGTACAAGAAATAGGGGATGAAACGTGGCTCCTTCCTTTCCATCGTCACCATATACAACCACTACACATGTTATTGTCAAAACCAGCACGTCACCGCTTAAGAAACAATATAGAAAAATAGGGGATGAAACGAGCCTCCTTTCTCCTCTGCATCGAAGCCGCGCGACTTCGAGCGGACGCCGCGAATCGGTCGAAAGGTTGATCGCGAATCTGGGCCAGTGTTCGCAGCGGGGCCTGCTCTCGAGAAGGCCGCGAGGGGATGGTCTAATTGATCGGCCCTTGTTCTGCTCTTTTTTTTTCACGTCGCGGTGCGACGCTCGCCAGGCGATTATCGATCTAATACGGCAAGCCGAGCAGCCCGTGTTTGTCCGCTAATCGCGTAGACAGGCGTTGCCTGATTACACCGGGGTGTAATCTGCATCAGTGGAATCCGTTCTTGCAGTGATTACCGACGGTCATTCGGTGGACGCGTCCATCGCCGCGGAAAATGTTCCGGTCGCGTCGTCGAACGCTTGCCGCCGTGGAAACGAGGTCAAACCGTGTTACGCCGCCGTCGCCGAGACGTTCGATAATATCCGCGAAATTTCTCGGCCCTTTCGGCCCCGTTTCTCATCCCCTTTCGTCGCGACGAAAGTTTGATGCACCCTCGTCGCTGTTGTAACCCTTTGAATACGAGGCCGCGTTCGTCGCATCGAAAGTGGTCAAGTTCGACTAAACGCACGGACTTCGCAAAATTTTTTCCGGCGATACCGTTCGCAGAGGAGCGAAGTCCGATCCTTTCTCTTTAATTTGAGAAAAGAGCGACGCGGCTGCGATTTTTTCTCGCGAAGTTACAGCACTTCGAAGTCACCCTGTTTAACGCATGTCGGAAGCGAGGCCATGTTTGCCACGTTGAAAACGACCAAGTTTGACGAAACGCACGGACTTCGCAAAATTTTTTTCGGAGCCGCCGTTTGCAGTGAAACGAAGTCTGATCCTTCCTCTTTAATTTAAAAAAACAGCGACGCGGTTGCGATTTTTTTTCGCAAAGTTACAGCACTTCAAAGTCACCCTGTCTAATGCAAGCTCTGACTTCATGCGAAAAATGCAAGGGTTACTTCGAAGCGCTGTAGCTTGGCGAAAAAAAATCGCAGCGAGGTTTCTTTTTTTTTAAATTAAAGGGAAAAGATCGAACTTCGTTCGACTGTGAACGGCATCTCTGGAAAAAATTTTACAAGATCCGTGCATTTTGTCAAACTCGACCGTTTTCAAACATAGCCTCGTGTAGAGTGTTACAAAAATGGCCCTCGCATTTAAAGGGTTACAGGTGGCGAGGTTGCACGAAATTTAAAATCGGGGAACAGTGTCTTAAAGTAGAAGCTCCGAGCTTTAATTTGAAAGAAGTGTCATCGTCCTGCGATGATTTTTCGCGGAGTTGTCGTCGGTCGAAGTTGGCCAATATTCATCGAACATTTTTCTCTGCTGTAACTCTTTCGATCAGCGTATATTTATACACGTTTTCATAGTTATCGATTGTCGACAATTATAAAAACGAGCCCCAAGGCTCGATCAATCGTACCTTCCCTTCCCAAATTGTCCATTTTCGGTTCCAAGCTGTGAGCCTCAATTGGGGAGAATTTACTGTATTTTGCATAAACATCGGACGTTTGCCGATCGGTTTCACGGTAGTCGAAAGAGCGTCGAGTTCTCTTCGCGTTCCTCTGCACTGGGAGCCTGACTTTTCTGCCAGTCAATTATCGGTTATCAGTGAAAAGTGAAAGGAAACATTCTTCGGGATGGGATCGGCGGGTCTCTGATCCCGGCAGAGGAGGCTATCGCTATCAGAGTTCGGCATTGTTCGGATTGTTTTGAAGGAATATATTTATCGGAGATAATTGCCCGAATGTGGATTCCTTTCACGCGAATTATTCTAGTCGAATGATTCTTTGTTCGTCGGAGTTTATTCCGTTCGGATAATTCTTTGTTCGCAGTTTGAAATCGATGAGGAAATTTTGACAATCGAACGAAGGCGTTTCTAAATTGTTCAAGGGCTTCCAATCTCTCTCTCTCTCACACTCTCTCTCTCTCTCTTTCTCTCTCTTTCTCTCTCTCTCTTTCTCTCTCTCTCTTTCTCTCTCTCTCTCTCTCTCTTTCTCTCTCTTTCTTTCTCTCTCAAAATGATTCAGGGAAAGTAGAAGCGACGAAGTTAGCGAGAGAATTAGCGCCGAAGAAAGGAGAAAAAGAAAGAGCAATACACGATGACGGCGACGTCGACGACGACGATCCTCGTTCGTGGGAAATTCGCCTTCTTGCCTGGCCGGTTGCCCGCCAGCTTGGATAAATTTCCTGGGGATTTTTTTCTTCTCCCAGGGGAGAAGACGCGGGTTCGGAACTCGGTCGGCCAGACTACCTTCCGGTAAATTAGCCCTGCACTCGCGCGACCCGAGCCAACCGCACTCTCTTTCTTTTTCTCTCTTTCTCATTCTTCTCTCTCTCTCTCTCTCTCTCTTTCTCTCTTTGCACTCTCTGTGCCACGTGCGTACACATCGCCGCGTTTTCCCTGCCCTGGCAGCTCTTTTTCA